GAACGAGTGAGTCTGAAGAGGAACGAGTGATCCTGAGCGAGAGAATTTGGAGAGGGGCAAGTGATCCAGAACGAGTGAGTCTGAAGAGGAACAAGTGATCCTGAAAGAGAGAATTTGGAGAGGGGCGAGTGATCCAGAACGAGAGAATCTGGAGAAGGACAAATGATCCTGAACGAGAGAATCTAGAGAGGGGCGAGTGATCCAGAACGAGTGAGTCTGAAGAGGAACGAGTGATCCAGAACGAGAGAATTTGGAGAGGGGCGAGTGATCCAGAACGAGAGAATCTGGAGAGGGGCGAGTGATCCAGAACGAGAGAATCTGGAGAGGTAAATGCATTGACTTTTGTGCCCTCGGGTAATATAAAGCACACAAAAGAGAGAAACAAGCAAAAAACATCAGAGAACAGGTAAACGAGTCATTTATTATTTAAATAAAAGTGTTAAAATCACAGATTAACACCCGGTGATCTTGCTGGCCTCTCTCACGCCGCTCAGATAAGCTCCTGTCACCGTCTGAGGAAAGTGTCTGTTCGTGGCCTGGAGACAGAAACCAGCGTATCACAGAGACAGTGGTGGATGAGAGAAAAGACAGCTATGGCAGAATTACCTCGCCAGCAAAGAACACTCTTCCTCGCAGATCCTCAGCGATGATGTCATAAGCCTCTCCACTACCACCAGTCTTTACGAAAGAATAGGACATCTGAGCCCAGGGGTCCTGACTCCAGTGGGTCACCCAGAACTGCAGTGGCTCTGGCACGTCCTGCAGGGAGAGCTCGCAGGGTTAGTACAGTGTTTAAAAACCCACGACTGGAGAATATTGCTAACCCACTTGCTCAGGGAACAGCTCTCGGAGGACCTTCATACAGTGCTCCACAACTTGATGATCTTGAAGATCCTTCATAAGAGCCAAAGCCTCGCCGGAGACCCCCGAAACCAGCACACACTGCTCCCCCTGAGGCACACATCTACTGTTATAAATATAACACGCTCAAGCAGAGCTTCTGCCGATCAACAGCAAAAGTTTTCTCCCGGAGAAACATCCTCCAGCGAGTCCTCTGGAGGCCAAACTAATATAAAGTCCACTTTTCAGGGTCTTTTCTGATGAGAGTCCATAGTCCAGATAGTCTCCCATAGTCCAGATCAGGTTAGTTTCGGTCAATTCAGGTTAATTGCTGATGCTTTGTTCATCACAGTTTTGATTAAACGTGACATGTATAACTGCATTAGTGTGCGCGCGCCCATTACCTGAGGGCTCATGTCCTGGAAGACACTGAAGAGGCCTTTCTGCTCAGCACAA